GCAATCCCAGGTTGGCCACCAAAGCACTCCCCTCTTGCTGGGTGAGCTTTGGCTAGTCACTCCTCTCTCCCGGCTTCAATGGGTGTATTTGTGCATAACGGGGGTGCTGTCTAGAGGGACCAACCATCCCGGTTTGCCTGGGACTGAGGGACATGGGGCTTTTGGTGCTTGTCTTAATGGAACCTGGGTGAGGTGGTCACCCCAGTGCTATTATTCATTTCAAAGGGCACCGGGGAGGACAAAAAGAAATTGCTTAGTGCTTAGCAATTATGCACGAGTTATTCCTGGAACCGAACCGAAATGGAAAGTACCTGTGGGTGGAAATTTTAGCTGATGGATTTATAAAAATCAGCTCTGCCTGAGGAGGGAGGAGGAAGCCCTGATCGCATCCCTACTTCTGGTCTGGGATGGGCACCACAACATTCCCTCTCTGCGGGTCAGAGTCCTGTCTATGGATGGCAGGGAAGCACTAAAAGGTTCCCCCGGGGGCACTTTCAGCACTGCCATGGCTCTGACCTATTTAGTCCGAGGTCTAAACATGGGAGGTGTATTTACAGAGCTTCTCAGTGACTTGATGGCAAGTGTTCCGAGCCTTCAAGCTCAGCTGTCTGCCTTCGTTTCTTCCCCTGTGAGAGATGGCAGCCCCTACCTTGCAAGGTTGGAGGAGAGGCAGCTCTCCGTCCTCGAAAAGCTTACAGTTCCTGCCAGGGGTCTCAAAACAGGGCTCAAGGAGCTGTCTCGTTAGCCTGACAGCATTTTAGAAGATGTCCAAACCGCAACCAAGATGTCTTTCAGTAGGTGAATGACTAACTATGGTGCATACATACCATGGGGTATTACTCAGCGATGAAAAGAAATGAGCTTTTAAGCCACGAGAAGACATGGAAGAACCTTAAATGCATACTGCTAAGTGAAAGAGGCCAGTCTGAAAGGGCTACACACTGTATGATTCCAATTCTATGATATTCTGCAAAAGGCAAAACTCTGGAGACGGTAAAAAGATCGGGGGTTGTCAGGGGTTTGGGGGTGGGGGCAGGATGCTCACGTGGAGCTAGGGGGATTTTTAGGTTAGTGAAACTATCTGTATGATACTGTAATGGTGGATACATGTTATACATTTGGCAAAATCCACAAAATGTACAACACAAAGTAACCTTAATGTAATAAACTCTAGACTTTGGCTGATAACATGGGATAGTGATAATGTAATAATAATGATACGGGCTCCTTGATTATAACAAATGTAACTCTCTGTGCAGAATGTAGATGGTGGGGAGGTCAGAGAGTACACGAAAACTACTTGCAGCATTATTTTGCTGTGGATCTAAGACTGCTAGACTAGAAAATAGCCTATTAATTTCTTAAAAAGAAAAAAATGTTAACTATTTTTATTTTTAAAAAATTTATATTTTTTTTAAACGAATTTTTTTAAAAAGAAAAAAATGTTTGACAGCCAACATATATACACAGGGAACTGCAAATCACATTTCTGGCTTCCCTTGAAAAATCACTCTGGTGGTTCTTGCCCCAACCAGGTGAAGATGTGCATGGTTGTATCTCACCAGGGGACAGTCCCCACCTGGCTGGCTTACTGCTTCCTGTACATCACCTACCTGGCCCTTGAAAGCATTAGAATTTGAGACTCAGTCTAGATCACTGGTTCTCAACTGGGGGCAACTACATCTGGGGACATTTCTGGTTGTCACAACTGGGGTGTGCTACCAGCATCTAGGGGGTTGAGCCAGGGATGCTGTGAAATATCCCAAAATGCACGTGATGGCCCCTACCACAGAGAATGATCCGGCCCTCACTGTCACTTGTGCAGAGATTGGGCAACACTGGTGCACAGAACTGATTCTCGTCTGGGGAACTTAAAAAAAAAATACTGACACTGGTACCGCGCACAGCGATTCTGAGTTAAATGGAGGTGTGCGGCAGGAGGAAGAGGATTCTGAAAAGCTCCCCAGGTGAGTCTAATGTGGAAGTATATTTGAGAACCACTGGACTGTTATTCATTCATTCATTCAATCAATCATGCAGCTGACATCCATTGCTTTCTCTTCTTGCACAGAGCTGGGGGTCCTGGAGGTGAGCCAGACCTTCTCCTCCCTGCCCTATTAAGGAGCTCCAGGTCTAATAAGGAGCTCCGGCCTCTTTTAGTCCAACCCTTCTTAAATGTTATGCAGATTCTGGTTCTGCGAGTCTTGGGGTGGGGGTGGGGGGCTGGCATTCTGCATTTCTTAACCAGCTAGCTCCCAGGGGCCATAGATGCTGTTAACCTGAGGACCACACTCAGAGCTCTGTCCTCATTCAGGATTCTCATGAAAGCCTGACCCAGAAAATGCCTGCGTCCCAGGAAACACATCTTCCCACGGCCTTACAAATAATTGCACTACCTTTCCCAAGTGCCTTAGACCCTACTATTGACAAAGTTCTCAATACATCTTTACAATAGTCCCGCAGAAGAGTTCGGGATTATGTTCCGACAAGCGTATCTCACAGATGAGTGAGCTGAAGCTTACGGAGGCGCGGTAACCAGCCTGGTGTTTAGTGGTAGAGGCAGAGCTGACTCCTAATTCAGAGATTTTTCCTAAAAGCCAGCTTGGCTGTCAGTTCCACAGGTGTGCTACCTGTGCTGCTGCCCAGGACCCTGTGTTCAGAAGGGCCCCACATTCAGTTTAGCGCTCTGTTGTCACCATCTTGAAATTCTGACTTTAAATCTTTTTTTTTCTGAGAGAGAGAAAGAGCACAAGAAGGGGGGGGCAGGTAGAAGAAGAGGGAGAAGCAGGCTCCCCACAGAGCAGGGAGCCCGATGTGGGACTCGATCCCAGGACCCCAGGATCATGACCTGAGCTGAAGGCAGTCGCTTAACCGACTGAGCCACCCAGGTGCCTGAAATGCTGACTTTCTGAGTGAGGGGCCCTGCAGATTCTGTAGCTGGTCCTGCAGTTAGCACAGATTCTGAGAAGAAACCTTTGTAGAGACTCAGCAGGAACACCAAACTAGGTGGTGGTGGGGGGCTAATAGCTAAGTCCTACTCCTCCCTTTTCTAAAGGGAAGCAAGTACCTCAGAGCAATCGGAGTGAGTCTTGGGGTCTGGCAGACCTGGGTTTGAATCCCAAGGCTGTCATCTACCAGCCATGGGACCACAGGCTCGTTGCATATGTAAATTAGCTTAGCCACTATTTCCTATTTCCCCAGTTACAAATGGAGGGGGTTTGAACTGGGCAGGGGTTTCTCAATCTTGACAGCATGCAGCAATCACTGGGGAGGGGAGCTTGAAACATGAGCATGCAGGGAGGGCCCTATCCCAGATATTCTGATTCAATTTGTCTGGAGTGGAGATGAGATGGGGGTTTAAGAGCCCCCAGGAGCCCCTAATAAGCAGCTAGGGTTATGAACCACTGAACTTTCCCCACCTTCAGGAATCTTCAGGCACCTTCAGGCTCCAGTACCTCTAATTCAGATGATTTATTTACTCTGGCAGAAATTTCTACACCCCTCCTGCATGCTCCCAGCCAGCCTGAAGACCTCTTTCCTCCAGACACTTGTGTCCTATATCCCTACGAGGCTCCAGCCCTCCACAGTTTTAGATTTCTCAAGGTATGCTAGGTTCTGTACTTGCCCAGGGAACTGGCCTGAGCCACCAAAAATTCCTCCTGAACAGGAAATGCAGTCCTGTACTCATGCTAAGACAATACAAAGCTTATTTTGCTTTGCAAAGTAACTGATCTGCAGAATAGCTTTTAAAGAATAGGCTCTGGCTTGTGGACGGGCAAAAATAAAATGGAACAAAAACACTTGGCAAGCAGAATATGATCCTATTTGCATAAAATCGTGCTTTACCATCTCTAACTACAGGGTTATAAACGCATAGGAGAGGTCTGGAAGGGTCGGCAATACGTCAACTGTAATGATCTCTTTTCCTTTCCATTTCTTTTAAAAACACAGAAGCACCTATTTTTATAATCTGAAAAAAAAAAGGTATTTCAGTCCTGAGAGGAGAATCTAGAGGTAATTTACATCTAAGTGGGAGAAACGGTCACAAAGTTTCTGGATGATCGATCCCCTTTCTAAAGCTAAATTCTCTAGTCCCTTTCATTTACTGGTATGCTATAATAGTTAAAACGCTAGGAGATGAACAAGAAACATTCAGTGAGCCTCATCTAAAAATAGACCACAGTCTAAGGAGGCTATTTACCATCATCTAAAAAAAATGCTTAAAAAAAAACAAGAAGCAGAGTCTTTCTTCCCTTCTGCGATTCTCCGCGGGGGTCTGGAGCTGGCGGGGTAGGCTAACCCCAAATCACCCTGCCCTAGGGCAGATTCTGCTCAGTTAAGTGGAAAGGATCCGCGCCACGGCTGGAAGAATTCCCGCCGGGCGCGGGAGAACCAGCTTCGCTCGGCCGGAGGAGGAGGAGGGGAGACTGCCCGAGGGCCGCAGAGGAGGGGGGCACCGGTGTCACTTTCTCTGAACCGGATTACTGCCCCCAGCACGGCCGGCCCTTATATAGACACTCAACAGCCGCTCCGGCTCCGCGCGCCAAGGGCAAGGAGGGAGGTCACGGATGCGGGCGGCCAGGACATCTGGACTGACCCGCAGCACCGACCCCGCCTGCGCCCTCACCACGACCTATGCCGCTGGCCCAAGTTCATGCGACCCTGCCGGGAACCCTGACTTCTCTCCCAGCCTCCTCCCCAACACCTGCTCCCCCTCCTCTATACAGTCGCATTCCTCTCCTGCCTTCCAGCTGCACCTGCTCCCCCTCCCCCAGCCCCACCATCCCGGGGGCTTCTCTCCTTGCCCTCCCTCTTGTCTTCCCCCCTGCCCACTCCATGTGGAAGAACCGCACGATCCCGGGACCTGCTGCTCCCCCGAACCAGTCCCTGGGACTGTGCCCCCCTCATGATCCAGGGCTTCCCCCGCCTTGCGACCCGCAGGTTTACCTCCACCCCCGCCCCGCGATGCCAGCCCCCGCGGGCTGCTGGCTCTGGCTCACCTGGCTCATACTTGAGGTAGAGAATGGAGACGATGAAGTAGCTGAGGTCGAAGACGGGGAAGAGCGGTACCCGCGAGAAGCTGAGCGCCAGCTCGCCTAGGCTCAGCGCCGAAAGCAGCTCCATGACGCCCGCCGGGTCCCACCCCAGCCCCCGACCCAGTAAGTCCTGCAGCCGGCGGCCCGGCGACTGCGCCCCCGCCGCAGGACCCGCCCCCGCCCGCCAGGCACCGCCCCCAACCCGGCCCCCGCGGGAGAGGAGGGACGACCGCCGGCCCCGGGGCGGGTCGTGGGGCCGTCCTGTCCCATAAAGCCCAGCAGGTGTCCCATACTCCGTCCCTCAGGCCATCAAGACCCCCTTCAGCCCAGCGAGACAGGGTGTAGGGGTCCCTGTGGTGTGAGTTGGACCGAGTAGCTGTCCATTGGGGGGTCCTTCCCGCATGGAGCTCACCCAGAAGGGACGGGTCAGTCAGGACCCTGTCCCGGTGGGACTCAATTAGTCCTCTGGAGCCCTTGGATCGGGACCTGCATCCTCTGTGGGTCTTGACCAGTTGTGAACCCCATCTTCCCGGGCCCTAGAGGGTCAAGACCCCCGTCCTCTATGGAGCTGTCATGACCCTAGTCCTCTGTGGGGCTCCGTAAGTCAGGACCTCCATTCCCCACCTTCGAAGGGACAGCTCGGTCGGACCTCCGCCCCGCCCCCGCCCCGTAGCTCCAGCCCAGTGGGGATCCCTGCCTTCCATTGGGCCCAGGAGGAACCTCCTCCCCGCGGGAATCCATGCCCGGGAGAGCTCACTGCATCAGGGCCCATTCCCCTGTGCAGCTCAGTAGTCAGGGAGCCAGGTTTCTTCGGAAGCTGCGTGGGAGACCTGAGCCCAGAAGGAAAAGCTACGGCGCTAATTCTCCAGCACGTAGGGGCCTCACGCCTGCGCGCCACGCCTCCAGTGCGTAATCCAATCTCGCCCCGGATGACTCCGCTCCTGGGTGACGTCACACTCTCGCCCCGCCCTTTCTTCGCTACCCTCCGGGCCTCCCCAGCGAGAAGGGGTGCTCGCTCTTCCCTAAAGGGGCCTGGCCTGCAGAGGGAGGGACCCTGCCTGCCTTGGCCTTCGGTTGGACCAGCCCTCGCCAGCGCGGCTTCAAGATTGGCCGGCTCGTGCTCTTCTGTCCTCCCCCTCCGGGACTTCCGCTTCCGGTTCTGACGGACGTTTCGGCCGTAACGATGATCGGGGACATCCTGCTGTTTGGGTAATTAGGGGGGCCAGAGGCTGGGGTAAGAAGGGTGAGAGGGATGTGGGGCAGCCCAGGTAACCTCATTCTCCCTTCGCAGGACGCTGCTGATGAACGCAGGGGCAGTGCTCAACTTTAAGCTGTGAGTAGGCCGCTTTGAATCGCGGCTCCACCCAGGGGGCCCGTAGGCCCGCCCCCGCGAACGTGAGCCCGCCCCACGCCGTAGGCCACGCCCCTACGCCCCAGCCCTCCCTCTGGCCACGCCTCCAGTCTGGTCCATCCTTCTGGGACCCTTCGCTCCCAGGTGGTTTGAAATACAGACTCCCGTTTCCCGGGGTTCTCTCTTCTCGCATCCCGGAGAGCCTCTGGCCCGTCCCCCACAAAATTCTTAGCCCTATTCTGTACCCACGGACCAACCTCTCCCCTTGGTGGCTGCAGGCCTGTGATTGGCAGGTAGATGATGGCCCAGAAAGGGGCATTGAACCACACAGCAACTCACCTGCAAGGCTAGAGCTGAAACTGAGTGTCCGAGGCCCTTTGAGCTGGTGGTCAGGGCCGGGGGATCGAGTGGTCTTTATGTCCCACCAAAACTGGACATTGTCTGTTCCTCTTTGTAGGAAAAAGAAGGACACGCAGGGCTTTGGGGAAGAGTCAAGGGAGCCCAGCACAGGTAAGGCCTCCTTTCTGGAGTCTGAAATTGGTCCATTTCAGAGAGGACAATTTTTTCTCACCAAGCCCTACCTTAGTTTTCTTTTTAGCAGTTGTGTGTGTGTGTGTGTGTGTGTGTGTGTGTGTGTGTGTGTGTGAGATTGTGATTGTGATTGTGAGAGGGAGGGAGGGAGAGATGGGCGTGAAGATTTTTTGTTCCTTCTGCTCACCTCTGTCACCCTCTTCTTTCTCCGGGTCAAACCTCCCGAGTATGTCACCACTCATAAAACTTCCTACAGTCATGATTGTCCTTTATGAATGTTATCCTCTGGCCAGTATTCGTCCCTCATACTTGCTCTTGCTTGTTTTGGCCCATTTCTGTGCCTTTGTGCTGCCCGTCCTCCAGCATGAATGAATGAATGAACAAGTAGCCATCGCTTTCAGAGTGTTGCAGACGTGTTTTAATTAGGTACCAACATTAGCTTTCAAATAAATCAGATATCACATAAAAATTCAGATGTCTGATTTATCAAGAAAAATGTGAACATCCTACAGCTCAGGGTTCAAGCAACCTCTTGGCACCTACTGGATGAAATTGAGAAAAACAGGACCCCATTGAGTCAGGGCCTGTGGCCTCTGCCTCATCCCAGCCCCAACCCCCTTATCTTTATATCATCTCGCCTGTCCTGGGGGCCCTGGAATTTATTTATCTGACTATTTGAAACCTAATGGGACCTACACATGACTTATATGTCCATGCATCATTCACCAAGCATTTATTGAGCACCTGCCACATGGCGGCCACTGTCTTGGATGCTGGGGACACAGCAGAGAACAAGACCGATGAAGTTTCTACCTTGTGGGTTGTATTGCTCTGGGGTGGGACAAGCAGTTCCTAAACAGGGAACAAATGGTGACGGAGGTGATGAGAGGTGAGGAGAGGGATGGGGTTGCTGCTCCAGCTGCAGTGTATGGAGGGAAGGACCCCTGAGCCAGTGGCGTTGGCAGCCAAGGTGGTGGGTGCCATGATGGAGTGTTGCAATGGGAATGATAGGAACCCCGAGGAGCAGTGAATTTAATGATGATTGGACCACTCCCTTTTATTGGGGGTCCATCTGGTATCTGGTAGTGGCTGCTTTGTTAAGTGCTTCCTGTGGGTGTGTTACTCTTCCTCCATCCCTGAAAGGTAAAGGGCATTTTCCCATTTTACAGACAAGGAAACTGAGCTTCAGGGCTGTGGCTTGACTTGCTTGTGGCCACGTAGGAAATCAGTGACAGCATCCTGATTGAACCTGAGTTTTTCTGACTCCACAGGCTGTCCCCTCAGTCACTAAACCATCCATCCATTCATTCTTTCGTTCATATGTTCATTCAGCAGCTGTATGTATCACTTACCCACTCTGTGGAAGGTACTATATCAACTCCTGGGGCTGTAGTCTAGAGATCTAAATCGGAGCTGGTGGGGGGGTGGTGGGAGAGTAGAAGTGCTTGGTAGCGGTGAGAGTCAGTTAGTGACAAGGACAGTCACAACAGTGGCTTCCCTCCGACCAGGGGCTCTCTGCATGTCTCCGTCCAGCCAGTATTCTGTGCTTACTGCTGCCACTGCAGAGAACGCCTCTCTCCCTGTGCCCGGCTGACCCCTCATACCGCAGTGGCTGCATCTGTTGAGAGCTGTCTGTGTACCAGGCACAGCTGGTCACTGGCTTCCTAGTCACTGTCACCCCCATTTACACAGGAGGAAACTGGGGCATATGTAGGCCAGCGACTGAGCAAGGTCACCTGTGTGGAAGGGCAGTAAACTCCTGCCCATGTTTAAGGTCGGAGCTTATGTGCTTCCTAGAGGCTTTCCGAACCCCGCTTTCCGACCCCTGCTCCCTGGCAAGGGCTATGTTGGCATCCCCCCATTGTATGCTCCCATGGCACTGGCCATGGTGAATAATCAGGTGTGTGATTACTTGTTTAGTATTTGTCCTGCGTGTGAGCTTCTTAGGGCAGGGATATGTCTTTATCCTCCCTCTATCCCCTGCACTTGGCTGTTGCCTGGAACAAGTGGCCTTCACTTAGCATCTGTTGATGGCAGGAAAACCTGTTTTTGTGAAGCTGGGCCCGGAGAAGGGCCTCGTCAAGCAGCGCCTCTCAGACATCTTGGGGCTGGACCCGTGTTTGACATTTGCAGTCTGGGCTGGGCTGCACGTGGCTCTCCCAGTGGGTTGGATGATACCAGACTCGTCTCAACTGTGTTCAGCAAGACTGTGTGTGCTCATCATGTCCCTGGATGGTGCAGTGGTGCCAGGTGTAACTTTCTGAGCTCCTGCCTGGTATTCTGTACTTATGGGACAGCCCTGGTCTATAGATGACGCTTTGGGTAGCACCCTTGTAGGTTACCCCATGTGGACCCATTCATTCCATTCTGGAGGATTAGAGAGGTGAGCAACTTAAAACCCTGGAGGAAGGTTCTGGAACCCATACCTCTGGAGTTTTAACATACCAAGTTGTTTCCTCTTGGAATGGGTTCTGTTCTGCGGCATCGGGGGACTAGAGTAAGTCACCATCAAAGCAGAACCCCGTTTTTACTTGCCTGAATTAGTATGCTTTTTCAGGTGCCAACACTGAAAATCCAGCCCAAAGTGGTTGGAACAAATGGAAACCTCCAAGGGTGGAACTGTTTTGGGGCACACCCAGCCTCAGGGCTCAAACCAGCCCTCCTGTGTGTGACCCTCTCCAGCTCTCTTTTTCCTTCTAGGTTGGTTTTACTGTCAGGCTGGCTTGTGTTGACAAAAGATGACCCTAGAACAGGGCTGGGCCCAGTGTTCTGTAAAGTGTCAGATCGTAAACATTTTTGGCTTTGTGGGTCATACATTGCCTGGTGCAGCATGTCCGCTCTGTTCCTTGAAAGCAGTCGTGGGAAGTACAGGCATACCTTGTTTTATTGTGCTTCTTTACTGTGCTTTGCAGATACTGTTATTTTTACAAACTGAAGGTTTCTGGCAACCCTGTGCGAGCAGGTCTGGGGGACCATTTTTCCAACAGCATTTGCCCACTTCATGTCTCTATGTCACATTTTGATAATTCTCTCAGTTTTTCAAACTTTTTCATTATTGTTGTATTTGTTCTGGTGATCTGTGATCAGTGATTACGACGTGCTGAAAGCTCAGATGATGGTTAGTGTTTGTTGGTGATATATATGTATTTGTTTAAGATTTTATTTATTTGACAGACACAGTGAGAGAGGGAACACAAGCAGGGCGAATGGGAGAGGGAGAAGCAGGCTCCCCGCTGAGCAGGGAGCCCAATGCGGGGCTCGATCCCAGGACCCTGGGA